AATTGTACTTTAATTATGACTCAGAATTATCATATTATCGGATGTTTAATTTGTGTAATACTGACACAAAATGACGCCTGCGTTACCAAAAGAACATAATGTGAGGTCAAATGTCAGGAGGTCACAAAAAAACCCAATGTGCTTAGATAACAGTCTGCAAATTGTAAGCAATTGTTCCCGGTTACGAACTCCATATAGGAGTAGTATCACTATGATTTCGTCCTATCTGTGAACTTATATGTTTTTAATGCGATGCAAGTGCTTAAAGTTATTAGTGTATTAAAAGCCACTCAAGCAAACAAAGCAAAACTAATATTTATGCGATGAAAAACAATATTATATATTAAATCAATATTAGACATCAGTAAAACAATTTTACCTGTTTCAGACATTGTGGGGACTGCCACTTCACCTTGACCAGCAATTGGGTCTAGAAATATTATTTACAAAACGAAACATAGTCATTTCATTAATGAACAAAAAAATAAAACATGTTTATAGGTTATTGCTAAAAGTACGTTCTCGTGAATTAGAAGGACGCTGCGCATGGGTGTTACGTAACTACATCAAAATCAGAAGATTTGTTCACCGAACACTTGAACATGAATGCTTGAAACGAGATCAATTTACAATGAGCGTTATTTACAGAAACATCTAAAATTTCTCAAATTTATGTTATCATTTTGTACAGATTCACAAAAATTCAACGAAGCAAACAGCCTTACCAAGTTCAACGACGACCTCAGTTCCGATGATCACTGACATGCTGTACCGACGGAATGCGTTGGTTGATATAACGCCTTCGATAAACGCGTCTGATATGACATGTTCCGTCACCCATGTATAAATGTCTAGTATTGGCAGTTCACTCTCTAACTCGACAGTGGAATTGCTGACATCTCTTCTTCGACGTAACGTCAGTCTGTGTTGAAGATAAACATACCAAATTAATTTGTTTTCTTCTATGTAAATCGCTCTTTTAGTAATTCGTACGTGAATTAGTACGTAATGATGGCCTCAGTGAAACATTTCAACTTTGACATTTCCCAGAAACCTTAAACACCACACGGGCGCTCACAATGAAATATAAATTGGGCAAAATATGTAGAATTGAGGATAAAACTCTTAAACTAGTTCGGGTACTTAAAGTTTGTTCTTTTGACTTTGAATAATTATAACCAATCACTGGAATATTTTCAACAATATTTAAGAAATCACTGTCAAAATGGTACTCTTCATTATCATGTAAAATGTACGTACCTGAAACTGTTGATGTAGAAACAGAGAAATGTCCCTGATAGATTAGTGCTTTCAAAAGTTAGTTGAAGCTAGAAACAAGAATATTCAAACATTCGGTATTGTTATCATTGTACATTAACCTTGACAATATTTTTACCAGAACATATGGTATTGTGTTAATGGTTAAGACGGTTGGTCAAACAATAATCGTGGTTGATAAAATTAAATCTATTTATTGAACACGTCACGTCTCATGAAATATTATTACAAATGAACTAAGCAGTTGAGGTGGACAGTGGTTACACACAGGTGGACAGACGACTTGCAATTGTCCAGGAGAAAGTCACCACCAGCAATATTAACGACTTGGTAATCATTATAATTAATAATTATTTAGACCTAAATGTATGATGCATCTTTTGAAAACTTATTTTTCAAAAATATACGAGGCGTATGCTCGAATTTTACTCAGAACTTAAGTTTCGTCCACTGAGCCATGTACGTAATTTTACTAGGAGCGTAAAAATATACGAACAGATCACCTAATTTACTTACAGAGGCGCTAACATCGGCAGCTAGATTGTGAAAGTCACATGACTCAGAGTTCGTTAAATCACTACTCCACTCAATTCCCTCTACAGAAAATGTCAGCTGAAACCTTCGTCCATTTATGTTACCTTCACAGTGATGTGGGGCTGGTTTCTTGCATAGCCCTGTTGTATACACTGTGCTTTCTCGTACAGATTCTACCACAGTCGTGGCTATCGTCTGCTGACGGGCGTCAGTTTTCTGTGCTACCGATGTGTGCGTTAACATAATTTCCGTTGTTATCGAATGCTCTGCTTGGAGACTTACTGCCGGTGAAAACAATGGCGGCGTTTTGCTTTTAATTTCATCTGCGACAGAAACGATTGGAGCATTTGTATGAGTACTTGTAATTCCGAGCACATCGGCCATGGTAGTTGTGGTGATGTCTTCGTTTCGAGAATAGCTTAAAGGAGATGAACGGGGATTAGTTGCGGATACTACTGTGGCTGGTGTGTAGTCTGATGTGGTGCCGAGAATAGTGACTAAGTATGCTATTATTGTCGATACACTCAGTGTCTCTGTCGTGCTAAGCGGTGACAATGTTGTTTGTTCGCGGGATGTTCTTCCTGATGGTAGCGACACGTGCATAGAATCTTGTGAAAAAGGCGCACTGAATGTTGTTTCTTCGTCATACTGTGTTGTTTCAATTAGTAACGATAGTGAGGTGGTAGTCAAAGATGCGGTGGAGATCAGTGATGCAGTGGTTGTCATGGATGCGGCGGAACTCTCCTCTGTACAGTTTGCTGGACAAAGAACTCGTACGGCATAGTCGTTACACTGTCCTCGCTGGTCATCATGAAAACAAACAAAACCACTTGGTAATAAGCAGGTAGCTATTTGACCAGTCTGTTCGTAAGGCGTATGAGGGGGTGCCGCCAATCGACATTCAATATCTGTCGGATTACTGCAAAATTCGTGTGTTGTTCTAAGTGAGTCCACTAATTCCAGCTCCCCAATACTTGTATTAGACTCGTCGAACCATTCGGTCCACGTGTCGTCGCATAGCATTCTACCTGGTAATAACGGCAAAAAAGGAAATTTATAATATATTCGTCAATCACCCTGACATTATTATTTTTTACACGTGGTGTGTTGGTATCGTCATTGCGTACTGCTCATCTAAGGAACCGACACGGCAGTGGGCTCGCAAGTGAATACAATGTAATCTTATGAACGATGCTGAAAGTTTCTAATTCACACGGGGAACGGGGATTACTCACTATAAATACCTCCCTAACTCCATGTATCGGCCATGTCTTAGAGAAATATATTCCTAAAACGTCGAAGTCTGGGAATTTTTACATAAACTTGTTGAATGTATATGTTTAAGAACGATGTTGCCCGGCCTCTCATATTCCCCCATCGTATTCCGTTAGTGGACAGGTTTGTCTGGATTGCATTAATAGTTTTCTGTAATACTAAAGTCACTCTACTTACTGCAAGTGCGATTGTCGTCTTGCAAGTAAAATCCTTCTTGACAAGAACACTGGAATCCACCCTCTGTATTGGCGCAGATATGTTCACAATCATCGATGTCCAAATCACATTCGTCGATGTCTACCAAGCATTGATACAATGAAACAATATTATACAACAAGACTCGTGTTATTTTAATAGCTTACGTTAGTTGCAGAATAGTTTCCAAGAAATTGGCAGTACAAATTATGCCTTCGACCTATTCAGTCGTTGCTGCTTTTCTGAGCGTCAGCTAATGTTGGTTTCACAATAGGAAGGATATTAGTCCTTTCTTTACCAGTCCTTCAAATAGGGGTTTGCTGTGAGTTTACTTTATTTATTTTGCTATTTTCTTAATGGAAACCAAGATGAAACAATACACTTTTTCTATATTTCACGGACATTTCGTAAATATTAATATCTCAAAGAAAATTAACATAATTTAAGCAGCCTCTTGTTTACGAAATTTAAGATGACGTAAATGAACAACATTTCAATATCACGTGACTATC